ATATCTTGGCCAATTATATGGATATATGCACGACCACGCCAGCCATGAAAATGGTACTTCGGACGCTCCGTCCGAAATCATCCACATTAACCACCATGTTCGTTCAAAGGATATGAGAGTTCTGGGCTTCCATCTTCCTCATCCGTCATTGTGCCGATATTGGATTATCTGCAGAGAAATTCTTCTTCCGAAAAACACCGGACCGATATGCAAGATCGAGCTTAGATCTGATTAATTTTGCACATACAAGGGACCTAAGCCATGGATGGCTTGCAGCTGCGTTGATACCCTCTTCAGCAGGACATGATATGCTATCTCCATATGCGTTCGAATTCTGGATCCATTGGGTACGTGACACCAGATTAACATACCCAAACTGTCACCCGGTATAATTTTAACATGCACGAGATTTTAATCTCGTGTGTCGGCTTTCCTGACTCTTGGTCGCGCGTTGCCCCGTGAAAAGGTATACCCTTAGAAACACGGTCTCTCCGATTAGATGCAGTGACCTTCAAGAATATGCAGCGCCTCAAAAGAATGTGAATTAATACTGGATAAGTTGCCTTAATCTGGTAAGGGGGAATAAGTTATGGAAGCAACGTTGAAAGACAACATAGTGGAAGATGAAGATAGATGAAGAGGAAGACGAAGAACGCGAGACGTGAGATGTGAGAATAAGGTGATACAGAATGGTGCTGTTCTGACTAAATAATCAATGCCTAGGATAATACGTACGAGGTTTAACGAGGTTTAACGAGGTTCAAAACGAAGAAGATACTGAAGTTAGGTAATAATAGTGTCAATGAACGATTGTGAAAGCCTCTCAAGCCAAGCCAATTGTTCATGTCAGCAAGACAGCCATAGAGATGGATATGTAGGTATGAAAGCATGCATGAAGATAGATTTGAGTGGCTTTTCCCAAATCTTTCCTTGACATGGGGGAAATATGATGGATAGATGTACTGTAACCTGCAAATGCAAATGCACCAATGCGATGTATTAGGACCCTCAACTTTCAATGATGAGGTGGATGTAAGGTTGATGGTGTGATTTCCCACTACTTGATCATACTTTGAATGAAAAGATGTTGTATACATATCAATGTAGTTGAACAATATGGATGATTGGAATGGGTGTATTGTAGTATGTATGTAGGTATGTAGGTATGTATATCTACCTACCTAGATATATCAAGAGTTGTAGTTCGAGTGTTTGCGGTAGGTAAGTACCTACTAGTACCTAGGTATGTAGCGAATGGATTGATTGATGAATTGGTGAGCCACTTGCTTACTCATTGACTATATTATATACCTACCTACCTATCTACCTAGAGGAGTACCTCTTCATATTTATATCAAGAGATCGGGATATCAGAATATCAGAATGTCAGAATATCAGAGACACCAGAGATATCAGATGTAGTACATTCGAGAATTTCATACATCTGGAGGATCATACCTAGGTATAGATAATATAATCAAAATCATGTAGAGATACATAATACGACATTTAAACGGTCAACTCCTACATACTCCTTCCTTCCGGTTCCTACTCCTACCGTCAAATTGTGAATGTTACCTTTCTCCCTTTCTACTTTACTCGTTTTAGTTAATTTGATTCGAATCATAATCTCGGTAGAGTATGAATTCTCAATAGAGATATAATAAGTCTTATTTAATTTATTCATATCTAATGATTGGCTTTGTCTGTTTATTTGTTTGATTTCCTACTGCCCACATACATACACATATTTACCTACTTACATATTGTCTATTGTCTATTATCTATTATTACAATCCATTCTCCTCCCCCTTTCAATCTTGCTGGCATCTCTACACCTCTCTCTCTCTGCATCTGCATCTATCTGCATCCGCATCGGAAGCAGAAAAAGAAGGAGAGAAAAAAGAAGACAATCTTCAGCCCTGCTATTGCTACGAGTACTCATTCAGATCTTTCCCCTGTTCGCTGACGGAACGTACACTGCCCAGCGCGCCTCGCCTTTTCCAGAGCACAACACCACTTAATCCATCAATCAGCAAACCTCACTATCACCATTGCACATTAGTGTACCCGCCCATCACGACCTTGTGCATCGCATCTTCCGACCGATTCTCCCCTCCCGTCTGTTCCTAAACACACCAAACCCAACCTCCATGCAATTCTGCCCCACGTTGGAACATCGACGTATTCAATTAATTACCAGGAACCTACTGGTAGCTAAGAATATCTTCCTCTACCGGCTATAAAGATATCTGCCGAATCCACCTTCAAAACTCAATCAATCAATCGATCTCGTCTCTCGACATCATATCACTTCGATCCGGTTCATTCTGGTCGCGCTTCCGCAAGCTATCACCCCCCTCGTCACGGCTTTGTGCCGACAAAAAGCAATTAATAATCAACAATCTTGCGTGGCTCGCAACATTCCATCACGTCGACGTCCATAATCAATATGTCTGGGTATCCGGGATACAATAATGGAGGCTATGGAGCACCAAACCAGCAGTACCCGCCCCAACCCTACTACCCGTAGGATCAATTTCCTCCTCTCTATGCAGTTCTCTTAGAATTCTCACTTACTTTCGTCAGCCCTCAACCAACATATGGAGCTCCTCCTCCCCAAGGCGGAGGCTACGGATATCACCAACCTCCGCCTCCACAACAACCTTATGGATATTCTCAAGTAAGAGGTTCACACACGCAGAAGTTCGTTCCTAATACTAATTATCTCTCTCCAACAGCCCCCTCCTCAGCAATACGGCGGATACAATGGTGTGCCATCTAACGCGCCACAATATGGCAGCCCAGGTTCGCAAAAATAATCTCGGAGTTGTAGCGGAAATACTGATTATTTTACCCAGGAATGCCCTCGGTCAGCTCAAACGCATATACAAATGGCAATCAGAATGCTCCACCACCACCACCACAGGGAATGCATTCATTCGGACAAGGTGCCCCTCAAGGATATGCCTTTCAATATTCCAACTGCACAGGAAAACGCAAAGCACTCCTAATAGGTATCAATTATTTCGGTCAGCGTGGTCAATTGCGTGGATGTATCAACGACGTCAAGAATATGTCATCATATTTGCATGAAAACTTTGGGTATCAGCGGGACGATATGGTTCTTCTTACGGACGATCAACAAAATCCAATGAGTCAGCCTACCAAACAAAATATATTACGAGCCATGCATTGGTTGGTAAAGGATGCTCGACCCAATGATTCGTTATTCTTCCATTATTCTGGTAAGTGATTCAACATGTACAAATATACTTACTTGTATTGACGTCTACAGGACATGGTGGCCAAACCAAGGATTTGGATGGGGATGAAGAAGATGGTTACGATGAAGTTATTTACCCAGTCGATTTCAGACAAGTTGGTCACATTGTCGACGACGAGATGCATAGAATCATGGTCCAGCCTCTGCAACCTGGTGTTCGATTGACAGCAATTTTTGACTCGTGTCATTCCGGAACTGCCCTCGACTTGCCATATGTTTACTCCACTCAAGGAGTTCTCAAAGAACCAAATCTTGCGAAAGAAGCGGGCCAAGGTCTTCTTGGTGTTATTTCTTCTTACAGTCAAGGTGATATGAGCGGTGTTGCAAGCAATTTGATGGGATTCTTCAAGAAAGCAACGACTGGAGATGATGCTTATAACAAGACACTGGCTACCAAAACATCGCCCGCTGATGTGATTATGTGGTCTGGAAGCAAGGATGATCAAACATCGTCAGTATATTTTTTACCGTGTCATTGTTATGGATGAGCATTTTGAAGAACAGGAGAACCCCTTGTCACAATGTGTTGCAAGGGCGTCTTGTGGCATTATTAGCGTCGGAGTTTATGCTATCTTCCGGATACTGAACCTCATTTTGGTCATACATGTACATAAAAATAGTCACGTTTAATTTATAAAGCCCGAGGTCTGTACCAGTAGCCAAGTCTGGCGAAGATACAGACCAAGGGCCGCGAGTTACGTTGGGTCGAGTGACCTAGCTGACCTCCATCCATATGCCTTCTTACATTTCTGGTCATGAATAGGTACTGACGATTTCTATACAGAGCCGATGCTACCATCGCTGCACAAGCAACTGGTGCCATGTCATGGGCTTTCATTACCGCCATGAAGAAAAATCCACAACAGAGTTACGTTCAACTTTTGAACAGTATTAGAGACGAACTCGCTACTAAGTACACCCAGAAACCGCAACTCAGTTGTAGTCATCCGTTGAGTATGTTCCCCCCCTTGCCTTTATAGTCCGTCTAGTGATGCTAATGACAGCAGACACCAATCTTCTCTTTGTCATGTAAAAAGTCGCACAAATGTATTAAAGGGTTTATGATGCAAGGGACAACATTTTAAGGCATGCATATGGACGGGAATTGGGAAGGCATGCAGCTATGAGGTCTATGAAGAACGATTTTCTCGATGGGAACGAACAATGACGGGCTGCGGGTTTATGATCTTTTTTTTTTTTTTGATTTGATGGATCGAGGACTTGACGGCTGGCTCTGGCATATTTCTTTCCTTGACAAAATGAATGATAGTAAGGACTGGGATGGACGGATAATGAATACTATGCCACTGAGACGTTTTTCTCAAGATTGTTTACCCGAGATGCTCTCTAAGACTGTATTATTTATATGGTAATAATTTATTTCTCCACGCCATAGACCAACTACTATAAGTTATTTCCATCCTAATCCACGGTATACCATGAAACATAACTATGATCCCCAATTGATTCAACCTCAACTCCAAAAAGATACAGTAAGTATTTTGCTAACTCGACCTTCCCATACCCAATTCAGTACAATTCCAATGCATATTGCATATAATCATTTCTGCATTCATACTCCCGCTATCCTAACATTGACAAATTTCATTACTCGACAAAGGAATTTTGAGGAGAGAAATGATTTGGAAAGAACGCCTAAGATAGGGAATGAAAAATAAAAGAGAGTACCCAAACATTACTGCAATCCCTCCACTCAATCCCTCACCCCCTCATTCCTCTCCTTCAAGATGTCCCTCACAGCACTCTTAAGACTACTCTTCCTCGCGACACTGAAAGCCGGATTGACGATCGGTTGTGCTTGATTTGCCTTAACGGGCGATGCATTCCGCGATACATCTCTGGATCCAGCACGAGATACAGAGCGCGATCCCGAGCTTTCTTTCCTTGCCGATAACGAACCTGGAATCTCTTCTCTTGCTGCATTTTCCTGAGACGAAATTCTCTTTGCTCGATTAGCTCTCATGACCTCTAATTTTCCGAGTATCTTCTGGTGGATTTTCTTATTTTGATCCCATGCTTCTGCACCTTTGCGCATGCGGAGACCGGCTATGATTAAGAAAGCTACAGTGCGGATCGTGGCCTTGGGTTTAGGGGCGGGAGCTGGTTCGGGTATCAAACTTGTTTGGCGGAGGAGGCGGAGATCAGCTTTGTTGCTAGTGGGATATTAGTGAATGTAGTATTAAGCGGACTTGAAAAGGGGGAACTTACCATGCATCATACATGCTGATTTTGGCGGTCAGATATTTCTTCGCGTATGCCAAATCAGCGCGCTTGCTTTCTTCTCGAGCACAACGGGCTTTCATCCATTCGATTTGCATGCACAGACCCTTCAACTCCTTTCCGTGTTTGTCATCTCTCTTTTCAATTTCTTTCGAAAATCGCTTCTCTAGTTCATCTCGGTCCTTCTTTAATGCTTGAATTTCGTCTTCGGTGTACGAAATCGACATATTTGGGAATCTAACACCGCTGCTAAGAGTGCGCTTTTCGGCTTCCCATTCACTCTTCGCCTTGATGTAGTCTTCTTTCGACTTGACGTATTCCTCCTCGAGAAGTTCCAATTGCTCTTTGGCGCTAAGGGCCCTGGCACGTTCTCGGTTACGTTCATCGCGGACTCGGCGGAGACTGCTGCGAAGCTCAACTTCCTTGGCGCTTACACTTTGGATTGCAGTTTCACGTTCCTTGATAAGTAGTTGTAAAGATTCGCGTTGAATCTGAGCTTCCTGAAGCATTTCGTGGAGGTCTCTGCGTTCAAGAGCAATAGTGTGGTTTTCTCCACTATTTGCACGTTCAGCCATGAGAGCTTTCTGGAGACGATCGATTTTGTCACTGAGTCTGTTGATAGCTGCCTCAAAGGAGGCATTCCTCGTTGAGAGCTCATCTTTGGTAAGGCGTAGCTCATCCAATTGACGCTCCAATTGGTCTTTCTCGGCTTCCCAACTTTGCTCTTGATGTTGGAAGTTGATGGTCAAGGCGTTGATTTTTCGTGCTGCTTCTCTGTCTGACTCCTTCATTCGGGAACGAAGATCTTTGAGAGACTGATGTGCCTCTGAAAGCTGATGACGAAGTAGACCGATTTCCTTATGAGTAGAGCCACCAACCGAAGCTGGCGAAGAGGCGACGTTAAAACGTGCCAAATCAGTCTCGTGAACTTTACGCTCGAGCTCAGCAATTTGTCGTTTGAGACCCTTAACCTTATCCTTATGGGCGGTTTCACGTTGAATGTATTCATTCTCTTTTTGACGCAATGCTGTGAGATCTTGTTTAATTTCAGATAATTCGTGAGAATTCTCGTTATGCTGATCACCCGATGCTGGCTGACTTGCCAATTCCAGGATTCGCTCTTCTAGCTTGCTGATAGTCTTTCTGGCTGTAGCTAACTCCCGCTTTTCGGATGAGCCGCGGAGTATACGATGTAGGTCCTGAATCTCAGCGTTGAGGCGAGCTTCTTCGGTACTGGCTCTCTCAATTTCTTCATTCAGCTCCTTTTCGATAGCCTTTTGCTCTGCCACGGCAATCTTGTGGTCCTCACGAAGTCGGCGAACTTCGTTATCAAGCTTCATCTTGGCTGTTCGAAGCTCAACTCTCTCCTCTTCGAGACGGAATGTTTCGTCTTCTTGTTGCTTCAAAGCCCTCAGTTGACTCGAGATCTCATCTTTCTCAGCCTTGAGTTCAGCATTCGATGATCGGAGGGAGTGAAGTTCGAGGTTGACTTTGCCAATTTGGTCTTGCAAGTTCTGTTTCTCCAATCGCACCTTTGACAGCTGGGCCTCGTGATTCTGTAACAGCTTGTTCAAACTCTCTTTCGATCCTTGATCAGCTTGGAAGTCGCTATGGAATACCTCCAGTTCTGCTCTTGCACTGGTGGCTGCGGCTTCTGCTTTCGCAAGATCTTGCTTAAGAGTCTGTAACTGTCTTCGAAGACTGTCAGATTCGTGTCTGGCAGCACTAATATCTTGATTGGCTTGATCGGTTTCCTCGTCAAGACTGGTCTGCAGAATCTCAACTTCATCCTCCAGACCCTCAATCTTTTCAGCCAAGGATCTTTGATCACGCTGGCTGAGTCTAAGCTCTTCTCGAACACTAGCCAGTTCGGATCTTGACTCTTCCAATGCTTTGCGACGAGCTTGAACATCTTCGTTCAACTCATTTATCTGGCGTGTAAGAAGAGCTTCTTGACTCTCGTGCCTCTCTTTCTCGCTGCGCATAGCCTCTCGAAGTTTCGACTCTCTCCCAGATAAAGAACCTTCGGTCTGTTGAAGTCGATCGATGGTTTTCTGGAGGCTTGCCGCGTGTTCTTCGGCACGGGCTCGTTGGGTTTCAAGATTGCGTTTTTCGGTCTCCCAGTTATCAACGTCTTCATCGTATAGGCGTTCTTTCTCCCGGATTTCTGCTTTGAGGTCCTCAACTTCATGACCAAGGCGTCCTATCTCTTCTGTGTATTGATCCCGTACGTCACGTTCGTTACCAAGTGCCAAACTCTTCTCATGTGACAATTTATCTTCCAGATCCTCGATTGAAGCTTTAGCCTGAGCCAAATCTGCTTGTAGACTAGCAGATTCAGCTGTCAGAGCGTCATGTCGGCCCTGGAGGAGATTCTTCTCATCATTCCTCTGTTGGAAATCTCTCTGTAATCCTTGCAGACTTTCGAGCCGAGTAGCAAGAGCTTTTCGCTCACGAATAGTCTGATCCAAGTCATTTTCAATCAAGTCAATTTTATCATGAAGACTCTGCTCCTTCGCTTCACTGTCACGTTTCAAGTCCTCCAGTTTCTCTTGCCATTTTTTGACTTCACGTGTTTTTTCAGCATGCTGCTGCTCCAAGTTTTGGTGTCGTTCTCGAAGATCTTCCAGTTCGTCTTGTAAACGGTTGGCCTTCTCCTCAATTTGGCGACTCAAGCCTTTAGTTGTGATGGACTTGTTGGCTAGCTCATCCTGAAGTTCTTCTAGATTGGCTTCGGCACGTTTTTTATCTCGAATGGCTTCTTGGTGATCCTCTTTAGCTTCTTCGGCTTCGATTCTCAGGCGTTCTACATCACGCTCTAATTCCTTAATCAATGACTCGGCCTCTTTGAGCTCTTCATTGGATTGTCCCGTTGCTTTCTCTTCCAACTCTATCGCTCGGCGTTGCGATTTCTTCAGGGCTGTTTCCAAGTTAGAGATAGTTCCAACATGTTTCTGAACATCATCCTTCAAATTGTCAATATCGTCTTCCCTGTCATTAATGAGCTGATCCTTTTCGCGTAGGTCTGCTTCCAAATCGTCGATTTTGTTCTCCATATCGGCGTACTTGTCTTCCTGGCTTCGCACTCGGTTTAGTTCATCTTCCTTCTCCTCCAAAACTTGCCGCAAATTATCTAGCTCTTCCTGTTGCCCGGCACTCACATGCCTCCTCTTAAACTTCTCCTGCATATCCAGAATCTGTTGTCGATATTGCTCGACATCCTTTTCGGCTGCAGTCAATGTCTTTCGGAATTTTTGTAACTCCCTTTGCATGGTAACTTTGTCAACTTTAAGCTCAGTGTTTTCTTTTAGTGCAGCTTCACTGAATCCCGGCCCTGCCTTTCTCAAGGCCTCTTCCAGGAAATGGATCTTAAGTTTTAGTCCGAAGTTTTCCTTCTCAATTCTGTCAATGACGTTTTCTTGCTCGCGTAGTGACAATTGGTTTCCATCTTGTAGAACCCCAGGCCCCTCGTTTCGCCGGGGCAGTAAAGCTGCGGGTGTCGAGGCTGTACTACTGTCGATATGCGGCATGGGAGTACCAGCCATAAAGGAACCCGTTCTTGTTGAATCGTCCCCGTATGCTGATCCAGCGGGCAATGGGCTGAAACCTTCCTGGATTTTGTCCAATCCACCTGCCCGAAGAAATGCTGGTGTTGCCTGAACGTTCTCTTTGTTATTTCGACGAGTGCTATTCATCGTCGCATTCTTCAGTAGAGGTGTGAACTCTCCTCCCCCAAGCCCCGCTGGCAAATTTCGCCTGTCCCCAAGGGTAGTGCGACTTCTGGGAGTGCGAATGTTGACACCACGGCGGCCATTTTGCATCTGCGAAACTAGGTTGTTGTCTTTTGACGGCGATTGGAAAGACTGCTCTTGTGAAATATCAAAATCGAGGGCATGACTACCTAGATAAGTAGCATCCCCAAGAGCCGTTCGTGGTGTATCAAGCCCTGCTATTCCGGCTTGCACCATTATGAAAATTGTTGTGAGCTTTGAAGCTCAAATTAATGTAAGAAAACCCTTTATAATTTACTGTGAAAAACATGTAAGAATAGCGACCATAGCGATTGACCCCAAACCAAAGGCAATGTCTTTACTCAAAGTGCATTTGTAAAAGAATAAGCTGAAATTGTGGTTTTTGGGGACGCGTGGGAAGAATTGAAGTTTTCTGAAATGATATCAATAGATACGCGATGGTCTCGATTGTTTACGTTCTTTCCATTAGAGGTTAGCGTCGGGTTGCCAAAACAAACACCACCTCGCACGGCTCTTTTTTTGTGCCAATGATATTAAACGATCATACCGAATGTTCAGCCTCATCAAACTTCGAAAGTCTCTGGTCAACACCGTCGGCTTTCTGAAATATCGAAGCTTCTGTAATTACGAATATTGCTAATATGGATGGGCTCGATGATGATTTTAAGGGGTTCGATGGAGATTTCAAGGGATTCCCTAAAAGACTTCCCGATGATTGTGTGGAATACTCACTTTACATCATTGACTCCAAGTTAAAATCACAAAAGGATTTACTCAGCAAGTTAGAGGATGTGCGGAAAGAGTCTTTGAACCTTCTGAAGGATCTTACTAAAGACTATATATGGCAACGGGATGGCTTTAAGCTGGAAACGAAGAATGAGAAGGGTACGATATCCACAACATATTGGCATGCGTCAAATGATTAACGATGTGACAGGCTCAATGTATCTTAACGGGATTACAAATTATGGAGATTCGGTCGAAGACGAATGGCTTATTGTGTATATACTTAAAGAATTGAGCAGTCGATTTCCCACATTATGGATCAAAGTTGTGGACTCCGATGGCGAGTTTCTACTGATTGAAGCTGCAAATGCTCTACCAAGATGGTTGAATCCTGAAATCGCAGATAACAGGGTGGGTATTCTCGTTCACATAAAGTAGGGAGCAAGTTCTGACACCTAGCAGGTATGGATTCATAATAATGCTCTTCACATTATACCATTGCGTGCAATCACTGATTCCTCAACCAAAACCCCAACTGCCCCAATATCTCGATCACTTACCTTAGAAGAAGCCCACAAAACCATATCCTCAACTCCAGAAATACTCATACACTCACCCATGATCGAAGAAGAGGCATTCTATCGTTTGCGAGATTATCCGGCCCAAATCACAGCATCCCTTCATCATGCTCGCATCACAGTACCGCGGAAAGTTGCTTACATACTACATCTTCGCCCAACCGCTATAGCCCCGGCAGTCGAAGCGTTTTATCTTCGCGATCCAATTGCACTCAAACCTCTTCAGTCCCTCTCATCTAAACTTGCATTTCCTCCAAAGGATTTAGTCACCGTCTCAACCCGATTTACAAAAGTTCTCTATGCACAGCTGAAATCGCAACAATTTTCTGCCCCTATTGCATGGAAGGATGTTTTAACACCGCCAAAGAACGGCGCAGGATTGGATGACTTTACACGACTGGAAATGGGAATGAAGATCACCTCAGGATTAGAAATGCTAGTCACAGATCCGAAAAATGCCGATCATCGATCCGTTAGAGAGATTAATATACTTCTAGAAGATCTCGAGGAAGATGCTTCCAATCTTCCTAACGATGGCGAGATTCTGACGTGGAAGGACAATATGAGAGAAGACGATGAGAAATGGCTCGACATCAATTTCGAGGACTTCGAGAGAGAGCTAGATGGAAAGAACAAGGACAAGAAGTCGGCTGGGATACCTGGAGCTTTTGGACCGGAACCCCCGTCAGGATTTGGCGATGCAAAGACTGAAGCTGATTTAAAGAAAATGGTGGAACGATTCGAAGCTTTCCTAAACGACGATGATGCCGGTCCTGACGGTGCTGAAATGGATGAGATGGATGTCGATGACGACGAAGACGACGAAGACGACGATGATGATGATGAAGACAGCGAGGAGGATAAAGATGTTAGCTTTGATGAAGTGGAATTTGCAAAGATGATGAGAGAGATGATGGGTATGCCAACGGATGACATAGATCAGCCTGCATCTCGATCTAGGCCAGGAAATTCCCGCAGGGTTGAAGAAATCGATAGTGATGATGAGGATGAAGAGGGCGATGAAATGGAGGAGATACAAAAAGTGATGAAGAGGATGGAAGCAGAGTTGAACGAAGCTGGAGCGCTCAATTTAGATCCAACCCCGAGCAAGATTGCTACCCTCGCCGGAAAGGGGGTGGGCACTGGAAAGGGGAAGCAAGGAGCAAAAGTGGATGAGGACGAGGAAGAGGAAGAAAGCGATGAGGAATTGGATATCGATTTTAATCTGGCGAAAAATCTATTAGAGAGTTTCAAGAGTCAAGGAGGCATGGCTGGGCCCGGGGGCAATCTACTAGGTATGATGGGTATGAAACTACCTCGCGACGAAGATGACGAAGGGAGAAGTCGTGGAAAGAGACCTGAATAAAGATCGAACAAAAATTATAAGATATTTGACTATTGCTTGGGTATCACTAACTACATCAAAAATTCGCTGGTATGCCTCAATTTTCATCCACCAAATCCTCGATGCCAATTTTTTGCCTCTTGGAACTCTCCGCCTCCGGGGCTACAGACGAACTCAGGCTTCGCGCTCTCTTGAGCATATCATTGACTGCAACATCCACTTTTTCCAGTTCTGATAAAGCAGCGGTTAAATTTCTCCGGTTTTCTAACTCGCGTCTACTGCTGTCGTTTTGGGGTCGGTAGTATTCTGTCACTATTCCCAGTACAGCTCTGTAGCAGCGGTAGAGCAACAATCGTACTTCTGCATTTCCTGTGTCCTCGATGAGATCATCTTCGTCACCTGCCTTCCAGCCTTCCATGAATCCTTCACTAGGATTTTCGAAAACATTTGAGAGTAATGGATCTCCGAAGACACCCTGACTCCAGTTTCGTAGCCCTGTCAATTTGAGACTTTCAGTCGGGATGTGCGAACTGCCTTCTTTGATTCCATTCTCGATCATTACGTTCCGTTCGCCCAGATCCAGTAGTACCAATCTAGGAAGTTTGACGGCGTCCATGCGCCAAGATAGACGTTGGTAGTGTGATCGCACTACATCGTATGGAAGTAAGACGGCCATATCTTCTCCATCGCGTAGAATTGATTCAAGTAAGGTATTGAAAGCTTCTGACCATGTTGGGGAGCCTGAGCCTAACGGGGCTGAAGGGGGCGATTGTTTGAAGGGATCCGGGAGGACTCGAGCTGCTGTACCAAATGTGCCGTTGGGTGATGTGAGGGAAGCTAAGCTTCGAGTTAGAGATCCGACTTGTTTGTCGATGAGGCGCCGGTCGGGTAGACTGAGGTATACTGAGAGTGCAGAAAGTGTTTTACCGGCCGTCGGTTCGAATATTGTGTATGGTAATGCCATCTCTCGGTTATTGGATGAATGCTTGAGCATTTTCGGTATCACGTCTTCTAGTTTGATGGATGCTAAATCATGTTCTACGTCTTCCATGCCATTGGCTTTTTGACATGATGTATCGAGGAAATGTACGAGAGTTGCTTCAGAGTACTGAAGCGTGGTCTCGTGTCTCAAGAGACGAACTGCTAAACTGGGCGCAAAGGATAGGAGAAGCTTGTTGTCATTCGACATGTTGAGAGTGTATAGTCTGGGTAGTTGGGTAGAGGGTAATTCTTCGACACTTCCTAGTTTCATATCCGGTACCACATGGCTAAGTATCTCCTTAAGACGTCGTACTGGGACCGAGTACATAAGCGACGTCTTGAAGGACTTGCCAGGGACGGCAGTCTTGTACGAAGCCATTATGAGCAGTGAGGTTGTATTCAGATATGAGGGTGAGATGTGGATATGTATGGTTTTGGGATAAAGTGGAGTCAGTGGGTTCGATCAGCCTGAGGATGAGGGTGAGCAAATTGATAGGGATATGATGTGTATGCCGTGTTGCTGTAATCTGGCAGTAGCTGTTCTCGGTTGCTTACTGACTCGGATAATAGCCTTGCCGGGCTTTTACCTTAATATGATATGTATAAGGTTGGCCAGGAATATTTGGCGGCACTCTGATCTCGTCAATTCGCTTATAGTGTGTTTCGATTGGTCCAATTGCAGTGATGGAGTCCGTGGCAACTGGCTCCTTTGAGCTCCACAATACTGGAAATTAGATCTTTGGAAGATCGGCGGTGGAAGGGACGCACAACACCCAAACTGTGTGATTAGGTAGAAATATTGTTCTGCATCGAAGTATTGATGTACAGTTGTAAAAGTAATGCTCGTGCTCTTTGGTGTTTGGGTATTGGTTGCCTTGAGGTGGTACTCAACAAAATATTGGTGCCTGCGAAGAGATGCAAGGCAGCCACCTCCTTGAGAACCCTGAAGTGTTCTGCGGATAAGAGAACGTGAATTGGGTAATTTCCTAATAATTGATAGTTCTTTGAAATGGGTAAGTGGAATAAAACACGAAGTTCTTGGAATCTTATCGGCGACAGGATTGGTTGTGGATAACTGTGGATGATTGATAGACTTGAGCTGTATCGGGTATCTGTTTTGTCGTTGTATAGCTAGTACTCTGTAGGTCTATCGACGAAGAAGTAGATATAAAGTAATTCTCGAAGCGAAAGATGGATATCACTTTTCTAACGAGAAACGGAGATTTGGACGAAAAAGGTTTAGACAACCGCTTGGAGGTGAGATTAAGGCGTTGTTTTGAACGATTCTGGATTCTGGAATATTGGGGGAGAACTTCTCCGGGACATGGAACTTGTACTAGAAAGGCAATTTTTGAGAATCATTCATGTATGGTGACAAGATGAAATGGAATCTAGAAAATTAGTGGAGTGCGCTTGAGGCGTGTATAGGAGGTCTTTTCTTAGATAGCTCCCGCCATGGAATAACAATCGTGTCTAGTGTTGGAATTTGGAAGCTTGGTTGGCAAGATGTGGAGACTTCAGGTACGGGGCGTTCGATGTAGGTAAAAGTTAGAGAACTAGATCATAATGGGTAACAGGATCTTCAATATCCCGGTCTATGTATTATCATCGATCCAATTACGGGATTGTCGAGAGTCGAGATTATGTTGATGTTGAGAACTTTGGTCCCCGAGACATTGGCATTGATGCAAGAAGATACCGAAGGCTGTAGATGTAGATGTAGATGTAGATGCGGAAGTAAAGATGGTAAATGCAGTTCGGGCATGAACGAAGGAATACACATATCAAACTACACACAAGAACGGATTAGATGTCGTATTTTTCTTGAGTGATTGATATTGATTGGTATTTGTGGTTGTAAGTGTAGTGGCTGGAAGTGGAATTTGAATTGATTAGATTGGTGGGGGTATGTTAAGCCTGAGGTAACATCAAAAGGTACATCCACACTATCCACACTATCCATGGTAATCCATCCCTTTCCCTTGGGTTGTGTTATAGACAAGGGGGGGAAGTACGATTTAAATTCTACGATTGGTTGGGAATAAGCGAGCTTTTACATCGGGAAGGTGTAGGTTGTATGGGATTATTTGGTCAGCCATCCCATCCATACATATCTTTTACCTGTTCATCAGTTCTTGATATCGACTTTGTATCGGTTACGAGTGCGATTGCGAGTTACATCTACTACTGATGCACATACTCATACCTACTACACCTATACACTACATACATACCACTGAGTGATGCTGCAAAAGTGTTAAGACGTTTCCAATACGGACTCATGCATTGAACGCATAAATCTGAAATCCCGACAATTCTGAGAGCTGCACTCAACACATGCTGCAGCACAGGAACGAAATGGGGGATCGGCGAAGGAAATTGGAGAAGGAGAAAAAATCTCATGAGCATGAAATCATTCGATGGAGCTGAAGTGGATATGGGTTCCAACACTAGAAACAGATCTTTCCGTGTTGAAATATGGACTTAGGACATATCGTCCTAACACTCCACCTCTAACCATCCGTTCCGACGAGAAGGAAGAATATATTAAACACGTGTGGCACTGGGAAAGAATATGCACGTTGATTTACGAGAGAACTGTAACCATATGAATCTGGTGACATACCCAGGTACGTACTTTCGAACGGAGCATGATGCATGCTGAGAAGAAAGAAAGCCACCACCTCGTTGGAGGAGCCCCAGGTATTTTCGTCTGATGTTCGAGTATTCATTCTATTCCTATTCCCATCAATATAACCATCTCAACTTTCTCAGGTCACTAATCTAATACCACACCCCAAATCTCAATCCCAAATACTAATAACTAACTCAATTCACCGTTCTCATCCCAAAAAAATTCCTCGGATCAATCAGTTCCACCCTCGTTTAATTTCAGCCGATCAGGTTAGCCGCTCCCATTTCAGTACTGGCCCGAGTGCGAAACCATGTAACCCCGATGGAGCGCCCAGTAGCGAGGTTGCATACACCATGTACGCGTGTTTAGTACAAACACTTCTGAAGTTTTGGGAAAACTTGCAAAATATTTCACACGTGTAGGCATTGTTTGTCTCATTAAAGATGGAAAGGTACAGTTGGTCTCGAGCTATCTGCATATCATCACACAAAGAATTCTAGTTGTAGATAAGGTGCCGTTGTATTTTATGCGGGAGAGAGAACTCAGTTCAGCTGGGCCTTGGTGACATATTAGATAATGCAATATTGTGATCACTATGTACTTTACATCGACTTGTAATATGCATTATGCACATGCAGTATGGAGTGACGCTTGAAGTATGTCGATGATTCGGAAGAATACAGAGCAACTTTTGATCAAGATCATGGATATTAGTTTTCCAGATGCAAAGTTCCCCACAGTCCACGTTTTTTCACTCTTCTAGGCTTCAAGGGTAATATCTAGGTACATTCACATGGATCAAAGTCTTGAGAAGCTGTAAATGTAGCGGTCAAACTTGTGCCTCGAGAAGCCCTAGAAGCCGGATATGCACCATTGTCCCCTGCAATGAAAGGGTGGGATTTTAGATACGGGTTTGTTGAGGAACTTGAATGCGACATGACATGAAATGATATAATATGATTTATGAGTAAGGTAAGCTGATCTAAGCGCCTGTGCAGATCGATTGGTATGAGATATGCGCAAGTATTCAAATGCCCGATTTTGATATATTGCATCCTTCCCGTCACGAGGAACATTTCCACATCTCATCTCTGGAAAATGGTAACTGGCATAGGTGATACAAGGTCATGCTAGTAATCTAAAACAATTAACTGCCGTTTGATTCCTCGGGTAGAGCCCGAGTCTCGTCTGTAATTACGTTTTCGAGCGTAGCTCTTGCTTTGGCATCTGCTAGTCCCCCAGATTTTAAACTCGCTGAAGGTGACTGGAGCTCGTAAAGGTTATAGCGCTTAAGCTTTTCCCAGTCATCTCCAACGACACTCATACCACAGATAGTCTAGCCAATGCAAGTTAGCATGTTGATCTCTGCATTTGTGGGTTTACATTTGTTACCTGGTAAATCTCGATTATTATCACTTTGTCTGGCTTAGTGAGATTGACTTTATGATTGTCATCCACCAGAGATGCGACCTGTTTGATCACGGCATCCCGCTTTAATGTGCTATGGTTGCGTATCGTGGGTCGAATAGCATACTGCAATGCGGTTAACGAATGTTGACCCAAAAGTCAAACAATCTAATCAAACTTCGAGGCTAGAACTTCAATGTCGTGGCAGCACTATACGCAAAATAGGAATACGTACCGAGTATGCAGCAACTTCTTCTGATTTTGCGGTTTGTCCAGAAAGTCGGAAATGAGCACCTAGCACGGCTTGTCCGACTTCTTCGATGCCTTTTTCTGTTGCTTTCCCAATAATTGACATTGGAGTTAGACGATTTACAAACCTCAATTTTCTCACCCCGCCCGATGCTGCATCTTCACACATCCTGTGGACGAGATCGGCTGGGTCTATTGGCGATCGTGTTTTGAAAAACAGCACGCACTGAATATCTAGGTAAATTGCTGAGAAAAGCTTCTCTGCAGGATCTTTGTGCGCTGCAACTTCTTTTCGAATGGATGCTTCGATATCATCGACTGATTCGATAGCGTCTTTATCTTCCTCGTCCCCCTTTTCGTTGCTTGACTTCACGGATATACCATAGTACTTCTCAGCAGACTAATTGCAATTTAGCATAAACCGGTAGAAGTCTGGGACTAAAACTTGATAACCAACCTCCTCGAGTAGACTCCTCAGCTCCTCTGTCGCCTTTCCTTCTTTGCCCTTCACGCACGTTGCCCAAATCCCTTGGTCACCTGGTTCTATCTTCCCACCATTCTTAGACGCCATTTTGGTTTGCTGATGTGGAGTTTGCCATTTGCCATTTGAACCACCCTGCATAAGAAGTCAGGAATTTTGGAGAAGCAAATGAGGTCAAATTGAAGCATATATTGTCGAGCGCGAAAACCATTTTGAAGGACTACAGCAATCCTGAATCAAAAACTGACAGCCTTCCCAAGCCCTCTTCCACTTAGTTGCAACATCTCATTGATGATGAAAACAGAAAATATGCTCTGGTCTGCATGTCTTGGAGCCATCACGAAATTTGAAAATTTCTTTCAAGTAAATCTGATAGAATAGATCCCTTGGCAGTCAATCTCGCCGAGGGACCACTCTTAATCCGAAGACTTCAATTGATATCAAGACTTGTTTCCTTTCTCGACTGCCGCCAAAACAATCACCAATTCACATCCAATTGCTTCAGTTCCCTCCTCTTCTGCGTTCGCCCCAAACATAAATCCACCATGAATCTAGAAAGAGAAAAAAAGGAAAGCCACATACCTTAGCTCTCTTCCCCCCTCTATTATCCCCATCCCTCGCATCTCTCGCATCTCTTCCGCCGCCCCCAGATCTTTCTTTCCTCTTATTATTTGAATCCGCCATATGCTCAACTCGCGTCTACCAAACTGTACTCTCAGACTCAATCTTGAATCCAATCCCACCTGACCTCTGTGATTTATTAGAAGATGTGAATTGGTTGTGGTTTTTAAAACTTGTCCGGCATTGAAGATCACGCCGCCCAAACAAAATGGAAAACATCGCTTAGTCAGACAGTCTAAAATACCCCACTTCGCCGCATTGGGGTAAGCAATAACTTGTGAATTGGTGGGAAATTTGAAGATGGAAAAGCAAGATTTCCATTGGAATCTCGAAGTTGAAAGTTTCAAATATTCTGTAGTTAATCACATTCCATGGTATTCTTTTTATTTCAATCCAGTATACCAAACCTCTAAGTCAATTCCAAGATTACCTTGATGTATTCATTCGACGGAATCACAGCAATCAAAGCATTACAATTCCTTGTTCTGACAGATACAGCAGAGAAGAATTTCATTATTTCATTATTTTCATTGTCCTAACCTGATACCTGATCCATACGCCTCCAATGCGCCAATAATTTTGATTTCGAAGCTCGAAATATTGTTTACTCCTTTGCGTTGTTCTTAGCACTCGCCTCAGCCGTCAAGACCAACGCTCTTGGAGCATCCTCCTTTGGAATATACAATTCCACAAATTGCAGACAGTCCGCAGAATTGAACTCTTTATTCGTGAAAAGCTCATTGACTTGGTCTTTGGTCTTAATCTGGTGAAGCTTGTATTTGCCTTCTTTGGCACCAAATGCTGGGACCAGATCTTTGTTGTTCCAGGTCGCAATATCGTTGTATTCTGCTTCCATACCGTGAATGAATCTCTCAATGGTGTAGCCATCATTGCAGATCACAAAACTTCATTGATTATTAGCCATAAAATCTGTTGAAAGGGGAAGCAACGTAACTTACATGATAGGTTTCAATCCAAGGCGGATCATTGTGCTTACTTCTTGAGCCGTGAGCTGGAAACTACCATCACCAACAAACAAAATGGTTCTCCTGTCATTTCCAGCATCTCTGGCGGCCAGTGCAGCACCTTGACAAGCACCAACGGAGTACCCAATACTGCCCCACAACACCTGGCTGAGAGCTGTAACTCCCTTTGGAAATTTCGTCTCCCAAATACCGAAATTGGCTGTTCCAGTCTCGGTAATGACAATATCATTCTCCTTCAAGAACTCGCCAGCCCTGGGCCAAAACCATGCTTGAGTGATGGTATCTGAGCTATCTTCGTTTGCGGTAACCTTGTTTTCCATCTTGGGCCCTGGAACGGCGGAAAGCTTTTGAAGGTCGATTTTCTTGATAATCTTCTGCAAAACCCCGCGCATATGAACGCCTGGGTATTCAGAATAACGAACGACAATTGTCGTGCTGTGGAAGTCGATTGTGTTAAGTTGAGAAGTCTTATAGGAGAATCCAGCGGTGTTGAAGTCACTCTTGATGGCTCCAATCGTCAAAATGAGGTCCGAAGACTCGACTCGTTCTTTAACATCTGGCTGACTACCACTTCCCGCGTAGACACCTCCATAGTTTTCGTAGGTCTCGTCGACGGCACCCTTGCCCATTGGAGTGACAAAGACAGGCAAGCCAGTCTTTTCTATCAATCCGTGCACCTCTGGGATGACTCTGTGTCTAATAGCGCATGCATCAACAAGGATGATAGGGCTTTTGGCGGCCTCAAGATACTTGAGAACTACATCAACGACGTAATCCTCTTTGTCCGGGTTATTTGAGGGTAGAGACAAGTCAATAGGTGTCTTCAAGCGTTCTCCTTCTACCTTCTTCTGAACCATATCTGTTGGTAGTGTAATGTAGACCGGCTGGCTATGGATCCAGCATTGCTGCAGCGTATGGTCGATTAAGGCAGCCGCTTCGTTAGGATCATTAATCTTGGCCATTGCGCAAGAGATCTCCTTTGACATATCTGCGAAAACATTAAAGTTTCCGTTTCCGAGTGTATGATGCAAAAGCATGCCATCCTTTTGCGAAATTGTTGAAGGGGTGCCGACTATGTGGACAATAGGGACTCGTTCGGAGTATGCACCAGCCATGGCATTGATCGCTGAGAGCTCTCCCACGCCAAAGGTAGTCATGATTGCTGAAATTCCTTTCACACGAGCATAGCCATCGGCAGCATATCCTTTATAAAGTTAACGTTAGGTATGAAACATTGGCTGATAGAGGAAAACTAACCTGCATTCAACTCGTTGCAATTGCCAACCCATTTCAATCCAAGCTTAGGAATGTAGTCAAGAGCAACCAAATTGTAATCTCCTGGCAAGCCATGAATAGAATCGATTCCAACTTGCTTCAATCTCGTGAATAGATACTCAGCAATATCCACTGGGGATTTGAGAGATTCAGTCCTGAGATCCACCATGGTGATTGATAATGGCGGGGTTGTTAGAAGTAGTACTTGTGAGATGTATGGAGGTTTAAATGTTTAACTTGTTCTCGTTGAATGGTGGATGAAGAAATGTTAAATAGATGAGAAAGCAATGAGATCCATAAATTAAATACGAAACCGGAAAGAAACTCCTCAGTCTTTATAATAGTTTGTCTCTGGCTTTGGACAGCCGTTTCTGCCGTCGATACCGATATCACCCATCATCCATCAAATCACCCCACCAAAAATGACGTTTTGCTTGGTTGAGCTCTTTCGAGACTGGAAGCTACAACGGCAAAGCATGATTTTAACTCCCCGGGCCATCATGGGCTTATTAAGTAAGCCACACATTTATTGCATCCATACAGATCTCCTCATAGAACATTGAGATCCGTATCTTGAATGTTGGTTGTCAACGACTGGATGATTCCGATGTCAATGGAATAAGGTTGTTGAAAAGTGGTCTGATGGAAGATACGAGTATCAAGGTAAAGAAGTTAAGAAATTCAATTTGTCGGTTTATATAGAAAGAGGTTTGGTATGACAGAGTATGATCACCTAGGTGGTATGTGAGGAACAAATGATACGACGTATTGACTGCATGAGAGTGGAAACTCAATTACGATGTACAGGAGAAAAGTGGATAGATAGCTCGAGGCTCGAGATGGTCATCATGGACTAGATGGTATACTTCATACTAAAGATTTTAGTGTGCCGTTAATGGCATCAACTGCATCCTGCTATTTCATACCTTGATTTGAAAACCGATCGTTCCATGAGGATTTCGCAAGTTCCGCCGTCGGTTAGTTCGCCGTCTCTATCTCTCTCCATGCTTGATATTGTAGAGTATCAATGGATCGGGAGCTTGTAAACGTTTTAATGTAACATCAAATATAAATAACGATTGTCTAATTTGATATTGAATACTAAAGAATGTATTTTCATGGTGTCCTGAGGGTTTCGTCTTGCTGCAGACTGTCTACTCCGTATATAAATCACCCAGTTGCTATTTCGTACCGGTAACATCATGCTGTTGAAGAATAGAGATGCGAATGGGATAGATGACCGTAATCCGGCAACACTTTGAAGTTTGTAGTTTGTCCTTTGCTTAATAATGATCAGTGTACGAAGTATGAACGAACTCCTTTAACCAGGTCCTCGTAAGTTGATGTGCGAATAGGAAGTAAGCTGCGCCTTCTGTGCCTTTTGTGGTCCCACACACATTTTCGTTGGTGAATAGGAGGTAGAGTCGGAAACGAGCCTACAGCTCACCTATGGATAGTTATACTACCTAGTATTTGATGGAAACCCATGCATACTTAATTTTGATCAATTGATTGACGCTCCGCTGGCCCTCCGGGAGCCACTGCCGTGGAGGCAGGCTATCCGGATGGGAAATAGTACATCGTACCCAATGTGTAAGAAAGGCTGAGAAGGGACATCGCTTCACAATGGAATCTTAAGTGTTACTCATATCTTTTGTTGATACTCTCGAGTATATGAGTACTGGGTAGATCAGATGCCGTACGTGCTGGTAGCTATGTTCTAGATATATGGAGTGACTTGCTCAATGTACTTTACCCACCTCGATGCCTCTCACAATACAAAGGTGCCCTGCTCTGTTGCCCTGTTGCCCTGTTGCCCCGTTGCCCTGCAATTTTGAAACATAGGGAAAACCAAGATGTGGCTGAAGCAAATCAAATTTTGCTGATAATTGATAAAAAAACATAAGCGGGGGTGAATGGAATGATTGTCCGGTACTTTACGAGTAATCCTTCCTTTCGTTCTATTCCCTACGAGCAGACTAGGGAGTTCGAAATCTTTAGCCTTGTTTACAAATTTCCCCCCATGTTATGTTATGCCATGCCATGCCATGCCATGTACAATACTACTACTACCTAGTAGGTAAAGAGAGGTATTGATAATATGCCTTTGCTCCTAAAACCCTTGAAAAATAATTATTCAACCCATCTACACACAACATTTACTTGAAATTTAATCTTTTCTTTTGGCTTCAATTTGATCTACTTCTACCCTTTCTTTCATAAGTTTACACATACACAGTATAACAAATCTAGTCCTCGGATTTGCGACAATCTCTCGGCGCCTATACCCGTCATACCTTGGTTGGTTATCTTTGCGAGATTTCTACATTCCAAACAAAGGCCAGCATTGCGATTTTCCAATATTCTTTGGACTCGCCCAAATTGATCTAAATATGCGCAGGCGACCATGAACCAGCGCCCCCAAAGCTCTTCCACAAGATCAAATCCAAGCTTTTTAGACTCAAGTCGTGCTGTGCAGGCCTCACCTCGAAACAAACCTTCGAATAACGAGCTTACAATCCCTGAAAGTAATTTACTTCTCAACAACGTTCCAACTTACGCAGTGAGTAGCTCTGCAAGTCTACTTATTCCTACCGCCTACGGAACAGGTTCATCATATCCTACAATTGTTGCATCGAGCTCCCCATCGCGACCCAGAGCTCATTCTGCGGCGACCAACCCGCAACCCCCTTCTCTGTATTCGCCTGCTACCCATTCTCGACATTCTACGCGATCTGGCTCGGAAATTTCAATGTCGTATCAGCCAGGAAGATATCAGTCGGCCGGCGACCAAAGGCAATA